ATACACAGTTTTGGCACTACAGTGATCACTGAACAAAACCCAAAAAATGGTGAGATTTCAGTCTCCCTTACCTGCAAACAATGTTACAACACTGTTTAGCAGTAAAAGGAAAAATAATGCATGACAGTTTCTTTTGTTGTGATCTAAAAATGGAATTAAATTATGAGTTCTACCATTGAATCAAAGGCACAATGCAGGATCTACCATCTATTCACAAATTATGGAAAATTTCTATATAACTAAACAAGACAGGCTAATGTATCTTTTCCTTTTAAGATGGACTAATATCTAATTCTAAATTCCTGTTTCACCTTCTTTTCTCTTCTAACCTATATTCAGAAGTCACAAAATTAAAATGATCCTTTTCTCTCGTTGGAATTTTTAAACTGTGCAACCTGCACCTAATAGCAAGAATCTCATGTGAATAGACTCACAATTTCTTCAAGATGAGATAAGCTCCAAAGAGTCACATCTCACCCTATTTGTACTGTCATAACTTACAGGTAATCTGTAATTACATTGTCTTCCTGGCAAGTACTGGAAATAATATCAATATTCTTTATAAACAGATCAGTCTTCCAGAGAAAATGTTGTGGGCACATGGCAAACTGTGAGCACCCATGGGAACAAACAAGGATCTGTGCTGGGCTGTTCCATCACTGTCAATACATTTGACAAGAATTCAGAAATCTAGCCAGCATTTGGAAGCAATAATTCCTATATATCTTTTTAATGTCACAAACTGTACGACAGTTATATTAATTACAAATAATAATAACCTACAGAAAAGAAAGCCATACAGATAAAATGCTCACAGGCATTTTATCCTTTACTTTTTAAATGGGGCTTTAGGATAAACATGCAGAAGGGATGCACTCTCAAAATTAAAGAATCAGGAGTGAGATGGAAGGTGTTTACTGGAAATTTAAAAAAAAAAAAACAAAAACAGATTATGTTTTAGTCACGTTTTATTAATTAACAGCTGCCAGGCAAGGCTGCTAAGAGGGCCCTTTCCATACTGATGAACAGAACACAATTGCTAGTACAAGAATTACAAAATAGTATTTAACACCACAGAAATAAAGAAGAAGTTTACTTCCTTTGCAAAACAGAGGACATGACTGTAATGCTCATACTAATATGGCATTTATTAGGATGAAAGAATCGAGTCTTAATAAAGAGATAAATAGATAATAAAGAGACTGCTGCAAAGCTCTAGACAATTTAGTTTTCAGATCACTGCCATGGATCGTGTTGTGGAGTCAAAGAAATAAAATGAGAAAAAAACAAATATCTCAAGTACCTAATGTAATAAACTTACTCCCTTAAATGCCAAATATTTGATTTAATGGAGCTAGAACTGCCAGTGCCACTAGATTAGCAAAAGGCTAGCAACTTTTCAGGATATTATTTCTTGCAAATACAATACTTAAAACTGATAATAAAATTTGAATTGATATATCCATAAGACCTGCAGACTCACATATATAACATTATAAATAATTTTCCACAAATGGAAGCTTTTTTTTTTCTCTGAAACGATGTTGCATCACATTTTTCATTATACTTACACAGAATACATCAGATTCTTTCCATGAAGAAATTACCACTTAAACACTGAACAGGAGAAGTGGTTAAGGCATTGCTAAGAAGCAATTTACTGATATCATTTTACTAACTTAATTGAACAATTGCCAAGCCAGATCAGTCTCAAACTGCATTTAATCCAAGATGCAGCTTTGAGGAGTGCTTATTACCAAATGCTTCAAAGGCAAGTCAAAGAAACATCAGAATAAGTATTCATTTGGCAAACCTACAGAAAAAAAAATCTAAAAAGCATAATTTATGACAGTGAAATTGAACTCCGTTTTATGCATAGCACTTCAAACTGGTTTTGTAATTTAGAATGTGCCTTACATTATTGTCCATTCATATAAAATATCGATAAATTCAGAAACCCCAGGAACAGCAAGAGGGTCATTAGTGAAAGGCCTACGTGTCCTTACACCCGTGGAATATTCTGGCTCCAGATGAGCTGCACGGGCATCACTGAGCACTGACCCTGACACACTCCCTTCAGACAGGGGTCATTATGGTAGGACTAACACCCTCCCTGTGTGCCACGTTACATCTGGTAAATATACAGGTTTCAATGCAAATTGAGAAACAGTCTGGAAAGACCTGATTGGGAGGAGAAAAATGTGCTCTGTGCTGAGGAATAACAAATATGTTACTTCAAAGCTGCCAAAAGGTAAAAAAGCTGCAAAGCGTGCAAGTATGGTCAGACTTTGTCTAACAAACAGGTGAAACAAGTTATTCCTTCCAACCTCTTAATCTATTGTTTCTTAAAATAATTTTTAACCTGCTTACTTAAAACAAACAAACAAACAAACAAGTTCAAGTGTATTTATGAAGTTAAAATTCAGAAACAAAATAACCACCTCTTGCTGTCTAACATCAACTGATCTTAACCTCATAAACCACACGTGAAGCCAAATATTTAATTTCTAACCTCTGCTGCCAGCTGCTGAAGAGAAGGGGATGCAACGGGGTGTAGAGTTGAGTTGCCTGTGACTGGATTATGGAGGCTAACATAGGCCACAGCATTTCTTTGAAGAACGCTCCTGAGATCCTACAACACAAGCAGAAAAAATGGTTACTACTGTGCATCATTACAATTAAGGCTGGTTTTGTTCTTTTGGTTGTTTCTAGGGGAAAAGTGCACCCTAAATTTCCATCCTCTGTGATTCCCCAAGTATTAGTTAACGACTGCTGCTTACAATATGCTCTTATGAACTTCAAAGGATATCTTAGTGCTATTTCTCTACATGGCAGAAGTTATAATTCCATTTCACACATCATCTAAAGAAAATGCAAACAGGTCTGTGAGGAATTAAAAATTACTACACTTGTAAGGCCAAAAAATGAAAACATTATACACTGTGAAACAACATCACGGCCTTTTAAACTTATGCCTGACAGAAGACAAACTTCAAAAGCAATCATTATCAACACTTAAAGACACTCAAATATTTAGAGACCAAATTCAGATTTGAATTGCATAACTTTCCTAGTGTTTTCATTTTATTATTTTTTAGGCTATAAATATAGCATGTACAAACTGTTTCAATTATTATCTCTTTTTTAAAAGGATCCCCTTTGCCTTCTCAGTAATGAGTTCCTCTTTGCATGAAGTGGCTCTTTATATTGAACAGAAGGGGTGTAACGCAATTACATCTGATGCAAAGCTGACTTGAAGTGGAACTAAACAAATTTTGCTTCCAGCCTGGATCTTTCCAATTTGATTTTTTTCACCCCCTCTTGTTTCTGAAGAATAATCATGTTGGAAGTATGAAATTTCAATGAGGGCTGTCTGCTTCTTATGCATGGTAAAAAGCAATTAACTCTTTATTTTAGCTATTGGTTTAATTCATTGAACCATTAGAGTTGGAAAAACAGTCATGAAACTCTCTGCCTAAAGGAGTAGCAACTCCTTTAATTTATGACTTGAGGTCTACTTTAGCCATGTATGATCATCAATACTTTTGGAGGTATTTTCTTTCAGCCAGCTGATTTCCACTCTGTTGAAAGTAAGAGCCCAAGGAATTGTCTGTATGCAACTTCTCAGCACAAATCTGTAAGAAGTGAATCAGCACTAGCCATGAAGACACTGTAAGGTTTATTTAATTAATGTAAACCATAACATGGTTCTCTTCTTTCTCTCTTGATTCACTTCTCCCCACACAAAGCTTATCGATGAAAAATTATTAAATATTAAAACCCCCAAGAAGGTGAAAAAGCTCTCTAAGCTCTTTCTGTGCCTATGTTGTTTTTGAGGCTTTCCTCCCTCTGTCAAACCCTGGCAATGCCCTTTTACAGAGCTGTGCTGAATTAGAGAGGGAAATCAGCTCCCAAAGGTGCTGTATATGCAACCTCCACAGCCACGGCAACATCCTGGCACCTCATTATCCCCAGGAATGGCCCCAGTGGATGTTTTCCCTGGATTTGCTGTGCAGTACATGAATGAACACAGACAGACCTCAGAGACCAGTTAATGAGCCACAGCTTCCACGTGGTAATTTCATATTGTTTCCAACTTTCAGCAGAAGGAATCCTCACTGCAGTGAGTGCTCCCAGAGCAGTTTTACCTCAGCCCACTCGTAGGAGCCGATGTTCCCCAGGGCTGTTCCTCCCCAGGAGCAGAAGAGCAGGGTCCTGTCAGGTCTCCAGCCCCTCTGCACCTTTGCCATCAGGGCTTGGAGCAGGGCTGTGATGACAGCAGTGCTGCTGGCCCAGCCTTGCCCACCATAACCCTTCAAAGTGCTGTGATGGCTGCCAATGATGACGTATCTGTCTGAAATAAGGAATAAAAAAAAAAATAAAACAACCTTTTTTATTTTTTTTTGGATACTCAGATTAAAAGAATTCCAAACAATCCTAAAAATGAACTGTATTAGTAGTGTGTAATGTCATTAATGCAACACAAAGCTGTCAATAAAAATGTACATGGTGACATGCAAGACAATCATACAGCAATTATACATAAAACTGTGAGTAATACTTAAAATGAACTAGCAAATAAACATATGTACACAGTTTCCTAAATTAATCCCCATGCCCTTGCCTTCTCTGTTTGCTCTTCTTATAAATCTGATATAGACCATTCTTACACCCAGGAGGACTAGGCCATATAGACAATCATGCTCACAGTAGAGTGTTATGGAAAAAAACAAAAAATAATAAGCAGGAAATGATCGTCAATGCACATCAGCATAAAAAGAAAAAAAGAGAAAGGAAAAACAAAACGAAACAAAAAAACAAAGCAAAAAGAAAACAAAAGGTGTGACAGTGCAATGGGAAACATAAAGAAAACACATAAAGTATTAGTACTCCCTCACCTGGAAAACTGTGTTCAGTGCTCACCACCCTATCTCAAAAAAGACATGGCAGAAACAGCAGTGGAGCAGCTGGGAAGCAGATTAGAGATCAGGACTTAGCCTTCCATGGAAGGAGACATTAAAATACCTGGACTGCAGGTTTAGAGAGGAGACATGACAGAGGGATAGAGATAATGAATGATATAGAAATGGTAAGTCACACCTAGCAGCTGTGTTAATGCTGGAAGAAAGCATTTTATAGAATGAAAAGCAAGAAGTTTCAACCTGAAAGAGAACATGCCTATGGTTACTCATGAAAAAAACAAAAATAACAACCAAAAAAGAAACCTAACAAACTTTTTTCCAGAGAAATAAAATTAAATCTTCATCTCCCAAGGCATTATATATAACCCTAATACCACTCACAAGGGAAAAAAACCCCTTATTTTACTCCAGAAGTGATGATGTGTTATGAAATAACATGACTGACTGGTGTGACTGAGGCCCATCAAGAAGTCGAAGCAGTTATTCTGAATGAGCCAATAACCCAAGAACCTTCTGTGTGAGATGAATTCACAGCCCTCTTTAAAGTATTGTTTACTGGTTTTGCTCTGATATTTTTTTAAAGTCTTCTTCTGGCCCAGATTTAGACTTTTAAAGGTGTTCTTTCCGTATTTCAGGATATCAATTGACAACAGAAGAACAATGTCAACAGTGAAGAACAGTGATGCCAGACCCACAACAAACCCTGGATGTCATTTGGATTCCAAAAAGTGCAAAAGTTTTCTTTTTCTTTCTTTACCCAAGTGAACTCATTCACTTGCTGTCAGTTGATCACAATACAGCAACAGGTAGCTGCCCACACTTTGTATTTGCTTATAAAATTAAAATATCTACTCAGTATATTTTGCAGTGGCTGCTGCCTGGAAACAATATTAATGGAACACTTTGATTATAAAAACATTCCCTATCAATCTGGAGTTTTACCAGAATTATTCAACAAAATATTTGAACATGTTGTTTAATAAGGAATCAAAAATGCTTTACAATGAAAGGATGTGTTATGTACCTCTAAAACAATACTTTCAATCAACTGCCTGGGGGGTGTGTAGGTATGGAAATGATAATTTCTTTCTAAAAACAGATATGCAAAGTGTCAATCTAGACTTCCATAATAATTTAATGTCACAAAATGAAATCTAAATCCCATAATTTTGCAACTTGTGCATTGAAAGGTTTAATTATAGGTTGCACTGACAATAATATGGAAAAAAAAGAATTAATTATAGGTTGCACTGACAATAATGAAAAAACATAGGATCTTCAACTCACTTAATGACAGGAATTAGGAACCAAAATGAATGGCCTTGCAGGCCTCTAGGTCATTAAAGGAAGTGCCACTAACACAGGAGGATCAGACAGGATCAATGCTTGCCCATATAATAATTTCTGTTTAGCCTGTGAATAGACTATGTGAGAGGAGAGACCTTATTAAAATAATGCAGGATATTTTGATGGAGAAGGAAGCATCAACTTACTGCTGGAGATGCCAGCTGAATGAGCAGGGGCAAAACATAACAGCTGGTGCCTCCTTTGAAATTGCTCATCTTTGCACATCTCTCCCTCAAACAGAGGCAATACCCTAAAGCAAATGACCACAGGAAAAAACAGGAGAAAGGATGGTCCTGCTTGCAGAGGCAGCAGCTGTCCTTTCTCAGAATCACATGACAAAAACAGAAAAAAGAGAAAGAACTAGAGACAGAGAAAAAATACCCATCAGATACCCTTGAAGGTGATAAGACAGGATAGTGTTCAGGGTACTGATGGGCTGGACAACAGGGATTTATCATTAAAAAGAGTCTCTTTACCCTGTCTTTTCTTGTTATACATGCCATCTTCAACCATGTCCAATAGAGCTATAAAATCAGTGTTACATTTTTTTGGGTTTTAAAATGCTAACAACTATCACATTTCATCTACTCCTAAATATTTTAACATCTTAGTTACACTTCAGAAGCTCATTCTTACTCCTCAGATCAAATGCCAGCTAAGGTCATCATTACAGAGATGTACTTGTCTGTATGTGTGTGTTAGGTGGTCTTTAAGCAAAAAGAAATAAATTCCACCCTTGGTGGTTCTCTGCAGTTTATTAAGCACTAGAGATAAATTTTGCCTTCTTTCTGCACTTCTGTGAACATAAAGGTGAATATTTCATGTGTAAAAAAAAAACAAAACCCCATCAAAATGACAGAGAATCAATGCCATGAAAATATCAAGATTCAAAGCAGTCGAGGAGGAATGACTGTCATGTTGAAGAGTAGAGAAAGAAACAAAGGTCCAACATTGATTCTGTACAAAATATTACAGTGCAATAGACTTGTAACTTCTGCCTATACTAGAAGACAGCTGCTATGGCTCTTGTTGAGCCAGACATCCATGGGACAAAGTGTTGCCATCTGAGTACTGCTACTGACTTTACTTATTTATATATCCTTAGATTCCTAAAATTCAGCATATATTGGAAAACCTCCAAAAAGTAGCTTCTGATTAAAAATGTAATAATAAGATGAAAGGTTCAGGTATAGAGAAGATAGAAGACTTGCTAAACAGAAACTGAAGCTCACTTTTTATTATTTTTCTTGCCTCTGTTTCACAATTCAGAAGACAGAATGTCTAAACATGGCAGTTTTTAGTTTCCAAATCCATGACAGCTATTTGCAAAACATTAATAATAGCAGACTTGTAACTTCAAATTCATGAAGGAAATTAAATTCTTCCTAGAAATTAAATTCACTGTGCTAACTGTTTTCTTGGTTGCTTTAAAGGAACAAAAAGTCTGGTGAGAAGTATAAAGTTCTGCATGCACAAAACTGAGTTGCTATTTCACCAACAGGAATAAAATTTTCTCCCCCTCCTTCATTCCATTACTTAAAATATCAAACGACTGGCCTACCTCCTAAGGGACTGTAAATAAATTTCCATCCTTTCTTCAGAAGCTAATAAAAGAGTATTAAAGCAAGCATGATGATGTTTTGATGATAATCTGCACACTAGGAATTGTTTGCACTATTTAAGTAACCAGCAACAACATTATTCACATTTCAGAAACCCTTCACCTTTTAGGTGAAGTTTCACTAACAAAATTATCTCAAAATGATCTTACGATATCCTGATTATGGAATTATTTATGTACAGCATCAAAGGACAGAGAGGGGTTGTGCTTTATGTCCCACTTGCTCTTAGAGTCCTATTGTTCAATCATCAGACACAGAGAACAGTAATTACTATTCATAGAATGGTATAAAACTAGCTCTAAGGCATGACTGAGACAGAAAAAATAAGGCTGCAGCAAGTGTTAAAACCGTATTAAAATTAAAACCATAACACAATTACTTGGTACAAACTACTGATACTCTCCGTGGTCCATGTGCAACACCTGCTGCTTGTGTAAAAATATACTTTTTGTAAATACAATATCCCCTTCAGCTCATTCTCTGTTTAACCCTCATATTCTGTCTTGTCATAGATCAGAAAATGAGTACCAAAAGGTCTTTTTCTTTCCTCTGTATTAGTGAATTATATAGCAGGATAGGATCCTGATCCTAGGTATGACTCCCAGCCATCCTGAAACAAGTGATCAATACAAATGCCAAAGGGATACTTACCAGGAAATACAGCTCCTTTTAGATATCCAATGACATTAGAAATTGTCTTGTAACTCGTGACAGACTGAATGTTCAGACTGACTGTTTCTTTGCCTGTTAAAAGATGAAAAAAAAGAAAATGTTAAACTTATTCACCCTGCCAAGAAACGTACAGGCCGAAGGTACAAATTCCACACACTTAAAAATAAAAATAATTTAAAATGAGAAGGTAAAAAAAAACTGAATAGGAACCACAGATTAAAACATGAAAATGTATTAATATTATTTTCTTAGTCTCATTTTAGCAGCATGACTCAAAGATGGAATCTCAAAAGAGATCTCTACTCCTTGAGTTAAAAGATCATTGAATTCACTCAACAAATGCTGCCAGGATACAACAGAAAAAAAATTTATAAGAGTAGGATTTGCATAACTCAGTGATAACAAAATTAGCCTTAATCTTTATAGGTTTTTCTCACCTAATCCTTCACCTAGGTCAATCTATCAATAACATTCACACCTGGTTTATATTACATTTTCTTCTAGAGAAAAGCTCTGTGCTAAATCAGATGGGAACAGTCAGAGCTCCCCACAGCTTTGCCAGCACAGCCTTTGGTGATGCTCTCCTGAACACATGCCAACAGAACCCAGGGGTTTTGGCTTAGCTGGCAGCAGATGAGGAAATGGTGCAAATCCAAAGGCAGAACGATTTCAAAAGCTGCCAAAATGCAGGGATCTTGCCAGTACTGCCATGCCAGTTGAGACTGTACCACAGAATAAAGCCAGAGTCGAGTTAATGCCTGAGTTTAAACAGATAAAAGAAGATGGGACACAGTAACCACCTGATTTCCTGCACTTTGTGACAGTGGAAACCAACCCACCAGCCATGGGGAGCTGCTGACACCTTCCAAATGTTTCATTTGCTTGGTAAAACGGTGACAACATCCAGCTCGTCTGAAAGGTCACAACTGCCACCCCAGGGAAATGACAATGTCTAAAACTGCCTCAAATTAAAAAGTATCAGTGGTGTGACAAGAAGCAGTGGCTGAGCCCAGACCTGCAGGAGATTCTCCCCATCCACCCCTGTGGCACAGCTGGGCTTGGAGCATCCCTGGGACAGAATTCCTTCCCTGTCCATACCCCAACTGCCACAGAACAAAACCAGAATATTGCACACATCATTTTCTCTCTCTGTCCCAGGCTATTATCCTCCCACAGATCTATGTCTAACAGTTTCTTCCCAGGCTTTGTTTCCTGAATATGAGAGTGGGGAGTTTACTGCAACATGGGAAACAAAAACAACACATCATTACTGCTCTTCAGGGTTCATTTGCTGGTTCATATGGTAAATTCACTTTAAAATTTTACTAAAATAAAATGCAATATGTTTTAATTCACTAGTCTTCATTGGTAATAACTGCTAGTGTTAACTTAGAAAACGAATTTATAAATTCATTTATAAAATGAATTTATAAAATGAATAAAAAATGAATATTTTTTATTCAGACAAAATCTCTTCTGTTATCAACAGACGTGTCTTCTCTATGACAATTCTGGTTTTGCTTGAACAAACCAGCAAGGAAAATGCAAGCCAAGCAGTTAATTAAAAATAAACCCTTGCACGTGACTTTGCAACAATCAATCACAGCATGGTTAATATTTTGATTTGTCACATAATTAACTCTGCTCTTCTGATGTAAGTTACTGTAAGATTTATTAATGCCATGTAAATGAATCACGTTTATTCAATAAATCCACTGATATTATTTTAGAATTTTAAAAAAAATATTTCATTTTTAAAATAGTCCAAAGGATTCCCAAAGGGTCTTTTAAAACAAGTGAAAACAGCTCAAGCCATCTATGTGGATTAAGCAGCTTAAATTTAATCTCAACTATGCAAGTTACTTCTTGCTGCTGTTTCTCACCTACAAACGTTCTAGAGCCAATTTACTCCTTTAAAAAAAAAGATTTTAAAGTCAAAACTTGATTTCCTTTTCCTGCACTTTAGGCCCCTTCTCAGACGAAAAAAGACAAATCCTTTTGAAGACAACTGACTTCACTGTTTTTCCTTAATCAACATCAGCTATCCAGTCTCCAACTGACAATAAAGACACAGAAAATTAACTTCTGGCAATACCCATAGTCTAACATCAGATCCTCGAGTTAATAGTCATGTAACACAGTAGTCAGCTTAAAGTGACTTGGGCTTAAAGGCTTAGAACACCAGATGAAAAGGCTGAAACTGCTCTTTGGAGTACAGAGCAGAAGCAAAATTTAATCTCCTCTAAACAGTTCTGACAACAAACCTCTCATCCTAATGCTGTATTTTAAGGATCTTGACAACTTTTTCCATTTTTCTTTTCTATATTCTCTAGAAAGCTATGAGGAGACTTAACATTACTCAGGATTCACTGTCTTTATGTAAGCTAAAAGCTACTTTTGGAATTAAAGAGAACAAACATATTTACTGTAATTTTAAAAATTTATTTCTTTTCTGACCCAGAATTTTAAAATTGTCTCATACCAAATTACTACCTTCTCCTCTCATATTTACATAGATATTTTTAGCAGTCCATGGCTATTTTTCCTCTCATTTGACAATTTTAGTACTTCAGATTCCAAAAGCCTTCTATTTGCAGTAGTTAAAAGAACATGAGTTAGGCTTTAGGCTTGGTGGGTTTTTTTGTTTTGGTTTTTTTTGTGCGTTTTTTGGGTTTTTTTGTTTGCTTTTTTTTGCTTTGGTTTTTTTTCTTTCTTTTTGGCTTTTAACTTCCTCCCTAGCTCATGAATAGAGGAATATGTGCTTGAGCCTCATTGTCAAACGTGTTGGTTAAATTCTTGTATCTTGATCATGCTAAACACTTATCATCAGACAGTGTTCTGAGCATTTGAGTACTGGATTTTGAAAAGCATCTTTAGGGACTCAGGTTTGAAAACTGAACTCATTTGTCAAGATTTTTGCTAATCATTGACAAAAATTTCTCTACATGCACACTTAAACTGCAGTACAGAAAAATCAAGTATTAACTGAATTCAAGGATTTCAGTATAATAACTCCCGGATCATAAAACCCAAAGTTATTTCAGTAGACAGCTGAAATAAAGTACATTCAATAACTTCAAGTAATGCAGTAATGCAGTTTTTGAGATCCTGTTGAAATCAACACCTGAATAAAAATGAATGTCTGAAATCACAACTGAACTAGAGATCTCAAACATCATCAAACATCCACGTTCATGTGACTTAGGGGACACTAATTGAGCTGAAGCAATCAGCATAAAACTGCACTTGACAGATCATCATGTCAATTTGAGTGCAAAACCTTATTTACTATGTACTTCATGTCAGCTTTCAAGTTCAAACACAGAACTTTAAGTGAAGAAATATAATCACACACATTTATGCAACAGCAGGACTTGCAAAAAACACTACATGCAACATGGTATACATAGAAAAGTAAATAACACTTAATGTATATAATCTCAGAAATATATAGTGTGATACTATAAAATTGCACATACAGAAATCAGTACTGAATCTATTCAATGTACAGTATTGTTGAGATATAAAACTATTTGTACAGGAACATATCAGACGTCCTAGATAGAGGTCCTTGTAATAAAAAGCCTTCACTTTTTATTGTGTATAAACAATACACCATCTAAATATGATATTCCTAATATTTTTCCCTAATAGATTTCTATTTGATTAATCAAATATATTACCTACTGAAAACATATTCTCCTTTTTGAACTATGAACAAATATCCATAGATCTTGAGTCTTCAAGCCTAATCTTAGTATGAAGAGCTTAATGAATCAACTCCTTGGTATTTGATCATCTTTTGTGACCTACAATAAGGAATCCAGAAATAAAACTCTTCAGATGAAGAGTTTTTGAAATAAGAAAAGCCTAGAATAAAGTCCTTTAAGGAGGCTCTAAACGAGGATGGCTTAATGTGATACAGAATAAATGTGTCACAGTCAACATCAAAGAGAGTTGAAAATGCTTCAGATGGTACAGCTGAATTTCATAACCTCACACTACTTTCATTCTTTACCTGCTTTATAGCAATCAAAAGCAAAGCATCACACAGGAGAACATTGGTGCAGAACAGAAATCTGAAGATATATCTTAATAATTTACAATTCTGGTAAAAAAACTCTCAAGGCTTCAGGTGTGAGTAGAGGGAAGATCTATAAAAAAAGGTTCACTCTGTTCATGCTTAATTCTTCTCATGAACTTCTGTTTAAAAAAGGAACAGAATTGAAAGTGATCATGAAAAGAAAATCTAAGAGTATTGGTATAAATGTCTGTAAGTTTTCATATACAGGATGTCGGAATTAGATCAGAGTTCCCTATTTAACTTGTTCTTCTTTCCAATGCCAGTAAGAGACATCTGCAGAATATTATATTTCTACTGTTATGTACAATGACTCCAGATTTGGTAGATACAGTAACATGCACTGCCACACAGTCTGCTGGCATCTTCCTCTATTTGCTTCCTCGGATTCATGTTTAGCATAGTCCAAATACCCAGAAATTATGGTATTGTTTGCATATTGATATGATAGTGTGAGGTATGAGCCAGAGTTTATTAAATATGGTAGTCTTTATTTTCTCTGACAGGTAGCAAACTACGAAGGAGAAACACATATAATATTATCACAAGGCTGTAGTTTAACAGGAGGAGATATATATCCTTTATCACTCCATGCCCTTCCTCTGACTGAAAAGAAGACAGGCTTGATTTGCACTAGTGCAGCACTTGGCATTGAACTTTATTTATCTTGGATGAGAATCATATAATATGGAAAGTAACAGACTCTTCCAATTATTCCTTTCATATAATTAATGGTTCAAATTTCACGTGATCAGAGTTGACTATAAACTCAGTATAATGAACATCTGACACATGGAACTACATAAAATAGATGCTCAAAGTCTCATAAAAATTCATTGTGTTGTGCTACAAACCTTTCCAGTAACAGTCAGTTCTGGTTATCTGTTCCACTCACCCATTTTGTCAGAGGAGGCAGATTTGTTTGCAGCCTACAACGGAGCTCTGCACTGCAGTCACTGTGATGATTCACTATTGATCAGTGACTGTATTTTGCAGACTATAAAAAGGTTACAAAAGATCAAAAGATTCTACCCAGAAAAGCATTTTGATCTGAGTAATTTTACTGTCGGCAGCAGAATGCTGGGAGTCTTTGTATACCTGGCTCTATTATTCACACAGTGTTTGATATCATTCAAGTTACTTAAAGTATTCATGCTTTGGCTTTATAATTTTAGAAGTTAAAGTATAAAAAATTACACCTATTGCACAGGAAAAAAGCTTTAAGAGGTAGTAAGAAATGGGATGTTTAAGTGAGATCACTTGCATTCCATGTCCTAGCAAATGAGCTGTATTGCTCAGCCACACTAGGTCACACCAACTGACCACCTAATCCTTGTCCCCAAGAGTGACCAGCAGCACAAATGTGGAGAAAAGTGGAAGACTAGGAACCACAGAACAGGATGATGCCCCAGACACCTGGAGACTGATCACTACTGAAATCGTGCATCTTTCTCATCTTCTCTCTTCTCAGACATTCATCAGGTTGAGTATGAAAACTGACAATTAAAACCAAAGGGAAAAATTACACACATAACACTAATGTGTTTAAATAGCAGGCCTCCAGGATTTCCATTCAAACCAAAGTATACGGTCATTAGTGTCAAAAAACACTTTGTAAATTAATTGCCATTAGATAGATTTACATTAATTACTCAAGAGTTTAATTGAAAAAGGGTAATTTGTATACTGCTGCAATCTCCCAAATAGTGGGAAACTTAACAACAACAAAGGCAGTTCACTGTACACAGCAGGACTTTCCTCGTTTATGTTTATAGGAGTGCTTTAGTTTTACAACAGCCTTCACAATGTTCTAGCAAATATCCTAGTAAGAGTTTGTAAAAAAGAAAGGAAGCTTCAAATGTTTCCAGTTTCTCTATAGAAGTTCACTCTGAAATTCCTTCTAATTGCATGTCTTTGGGAAAAAAACCAAAACATGAGAGCACAGAATTTCAGATCAACGAGGATTAACAATAATGTACCATACCGAACAAAAACCAAATCTAATTAATGACTTCATCTAACACAAAATTAACAGCTGACTTCAATTCCCACTATTTGCTTTGTAGGTCCTGAGCACTCGATCTGTGTGGGATGTTTGCCTCCATCCTTCCACTCCCTCTGTCACATTTTGTCTCTTGAAAACTGCAAGGCTAAGGGAAAAACGCAGCAATGTGAGAAAACTATATATAAATGTTTAATCATTACTGATGAATCTGCTGTTCAGCTTTTTAAAATATAATGATGAGAGAATGATGATCATTTTATCCTAACAAATTTTAAGCCAACCAATCATCTGAATTGCTCATTCACCTCTTTTGACAGATAAGTGATGAGTCCTACGTCAGAAGTGAAATCTCTCTCTTAAGCTTCTTCAAATCAACAGGAAGACTGCAAATTCAGCCTTAGTTCTTCTCAAATGCATTGCTGTCCTCAGCATTATCTCTTTAGCTAACACTAGTATTAAATAGCTGTACACCATTTCTTATCATAGGACCAGTCTTTTATTTCTTCCATTAAGGCTGCTGCTGAACAACAGCACACTGTGCTCCAGAACATCAACAGCTTCACCAGTATTTCAAGGAAATAATACATTACAAAATTATACAATATAAATTAAGACTTTTAAAAATATCCCCCATGGATTACTGTGGTTCAGAAACTTTACATGAAATCAAACACAAACACAATCTATGTTCACCCAGAGTAAACCAGACATGGACTGGCTCTCACTAAGACTGCTGGCTTGAAATATTCTTTCTTTCCAGAAATTCTCCTCTCACAGAATTCCTGTTATCTCAGGGAAATAAAACAGACATGCTGCACCTGTCACAGAAAAAAGCAGAATAAGCTGCCCTTTAGGGTGATTCTGTCCTGCAGCCTCCAGACAAAGATTTTTGAGAAACAGACATTGTGCAGCCTTTTATCTTTCTGAAATGAGCGTCATTTTCCAGCCCAAATTCAGGCTTTGCTCCAGGCACTTCAGCTGTTGAAAATTCCTTCAATACTAACAGGCTTCATGCATCCTACCTGGAATGGTTAAGCATTTGTTTCTTTCAAAATGGCCTTTTCCCATTTTCGACTGGTTGTGGGAACAATAATTTTTAAAATTAGAAGTTCATTTAAAAAATATCTAGTCAGCCACACATGGAGAGCAATTGTCCTGCCTAACCACAACAGCTTAAGCCATGAAGCATGAGGTCTTCTCCCTCCCTTTTTAGTATGGATAACTGAAAATGCTAACACAAGTCATAAAATTAATCAACCTTTTTTTACTACTTGTTGTATTGTACTCCTATTCCACAATAACTTTCCAAAAGCAATAAGCAAGGGATACAGCACATGATAGTACATTGGTGGCCCTTAAAATCTGTTTTTACTGTTATCATCACTGTGTGTAGCACAGGATACAGTGGATAAATTAATTTGCCTCCTCCTTTCCAAGGCCACAGTTTCAAATCAATTCATTTAAATGGGCATTATAACGAAATACATCATTTTTTCCTGGTGAAAGATGGACAGGTACAAAACAAAACTGAAGACTGTTTACTGCAGAATTACTGTTCAAACATGCACCTCATCTAGAATGTTCTCTATAAGATGTTCCTTCAGTGAAACACTGTGCAGTATCTTTGCTGGAAGACTGTAGGTTTACTTTTTTTTCCCTTCCTATATCAGCAATCCGTTTTTTCAAGCAATAATCCGTGTGACTTTGCTAATAGCATTATTTCTAGAGAGATAATATGAATGCATTCATCTGGCTCTACTCAAGGTATTTTGTTCCTAGCATGATGCTCTTAGCATGATTTTGTTCTTAGTTTGCCTGGTGAAACTTGGAGAAAAAGCTGCCTGAAGGTTTAGGTAACAATATACTGTTTATTCTGTAGAATATACAAATTAAGGAACACAGAGACACGTTTAGAATGTAAGTGCTACTATTCCAGAAACAGAAAAATCCCCACAGAATAATACAGTTACTGATGCCTTTATGTTAAAATCACATTATTAATATTACAGCAAGGCCTAACAAACCATACTGCAGCACTAACAAACCATCCCTAGTGCTGGCATCTACACAGAGGAGGTTCTAAGTCAATATTAAGCATTAGTGCTCAATGCCTTCTACTTTTTTTTTTTTTTAAACTGCATCTTCCATCTATCAGATTTTAGGAGCATAATTTTTAGACTGTTCATAGCTTATTCTAGAAAGCATCTAAGCAAAACATACCCACAGTCAGCTAAACCTCTCAGTTGTACAGCTGTAGAAAGTGGGTTTGGAGTCTGTGAGGAACATCCCATAGGTGAAGTGTATTTGAAAAGCATTACCTGCAGCTGGCTGTTGGAGGGGTGTACACCTGTCTTTTTGGGCAGTGTCCTCAGGTAGGGAAATGAGTTTTCTGGCAAGCACTGCAGAAATTGGTTGTACCAACAGTGTTGTGAGGTTCAGTCGATTTTGCCTGTAGCTTCCATCTTAAATAACAGAAAGAAAACAGTAATTTAGTAAATTAAAATTAGATTTCTCTCATTCATAAACCAAACACAAAAATGCAAATCTCTATCACACAGCTTAAAATAACTGATTTAGATAAAAAAATGTTGTTTTGTGCTTATGTTACTGAAAAAAAAAAGAGAAAGCTTCTTCAAGAACATGTACATATTATGGTATCTGGGCAATAGTTCCACAAGAAAGAAATTATTAAAAGAATCCAAACAGATATTCGACTGTGAATTACACACAACAAATTAAATTGGTGTGTAGTTAAAGGAATCATTGAAAAATAGAAGTACTGATCAGCAATAACTTTCAAATTCAATAAAAACTGAACAGCTGAAGGAGATCTGGAATAAGAAGGTATTAAACAGACACAATGAGTGGAGAAAGATTTGGATCAAAAAGCATCAGAATACTTGATTTACAGCTGAAACATCTTAAGCAGACATAGTGCAAACCTCTCAATATCAGCAGCTTCATGCAAATATTAAAATCTCCCCTTAACTGAAAAAATGTGAGTTTCCATACCCAAGCCTGTCTAACAGCTGATCATGGAAGGGTTTCTGATGAGATAATGCCTGCAGCACCCTCAAAGCCTCACAGTGCACCTGCCCCTGCTCAATCTTGTCCAAACCTTCAACCAGAGATTCAGAATACAAAGCCTCTCCCTGAGACCTCTGTGAAACAAACACCATATTTCCTGTCAACATCGAGTTCTTTACTACCCAAGAGCATCCTTTAAATTCTGAGTGGCTGCAGGCACAAAAGGGAGGGAGCTATCAGCAATCAGCAGCATGTTTCAGATCAATTTCTATAAAACTATTACCAGGACTGTTGTTACTGAACCACAGTATAAAGGAAAAAAAAATTTAGACACATCCTCAATTTCTCAATTTCTCTCTTTTTTTTTTTTTGTTCTAGAAACTCGTGAAACTATTTATAGTATACCTTTAATCCTAATGTAAAAACTGACCAAAGCTGTATCATTTCATTATAGAAAAACAAAAGGTGTTGTTCACCTTTAATATTCAGTGATCAGTGCTCAATTTGAAAGATTCAGACAAATATCTAGGTGGAAGTGTTAAGGTGGCTCAAAATATAATTTTTTTTATAAAGCTTTGTCTCATCAAAATTGGTCTGAGTTCAAAATCTCTTAAGGTTGTCACTTCAATAAACTGACAGCAAAATCAGTTTGGTCAAGCTTTGAGAGTCCGTTTCTGCAATCAAAAAGAATCCTAAAAAGTCCATCAGAGACGTGCAATTGAGACATTATTTTCTTTCCAGTATTTGTCAATCTGCAGACTGTATTACAGGGGCAATGAAGCTCAAAACGTTTCAGATGAGAAAAATCTCTCCTCTCTCCAGTTACTCGTAACTTGAGCTTCATACCTGAATAACCTGTGAAAGATACACTTTCAAGAACAACTTACAGGAGAAACCCCTCCATATTTAAAAATGAATCATTTCACAATACAAGATGGAATTTGAAGTACGGGAGAAAAATGAAAAAAAAAAAAAAATCTATAGAAAGGCAGATTTAAGTTATCTGGGCAGATTTATCTGGAAGAAAAACTTTCTAATAGGAGGAATTCATAAAGACTTGCCCAGGCAGGTGATAAAATTTCTTAAACTGGAATCTTTTTAGAGAAAAGTGTAAGCAAACATCTGTCAGGAATGATGCAGATATGGCTGATGCCCTCCCTGAGGGAAGGTGTGACATTAGATGACCTCTTGACATATTTTCCAGACCTAATTTCTATAAAATTCTCTAGTAACTAAACTTGACTAACTCTTAACAGAGGAAAAAAAAATACAATTGGAGTTAATATTAAAAATGCTTAAAAAAAAAAAAGTTAGAGTTCTTTCCCTCTGCCAGGCATTTATTAATTGCCACTTGTTAAGGAGGCTGAGGAAAGCAATGTGCATCATGACCAGATTTCAAAAGTGAACCATTCAAGACCAATCTCTCCAGTGCAAATTTAAAAACCTGGAGATTTCCAGGACTTCTAGTTAGAGCCTCATCATCCAGGTTTTAAATACTCATGGGCCTGGTGCTGTAGTGGCAGTGAAACAGTGCAGTGCAGCTTCATAAAGAAACCAAGACACTGAAAGGACCTGGGAATTCTTGCTGGCACTTTCTGTGCTGGATGCCAAAGCCTTGGAGCACAGAGCACTCTCAGGATCTGTGGGAACAACAAATGCTTCCAGGATAATTTAAATGTGACATTTTGCCGGTAATGAAATTTAGTTTTATAGCATGAAACTCTTCCAAGAAGCAGAATTGCTTCTTCTCTGCAAGTCTAACAATGTAGCTGTGCCAGGCCTAGAACCACTATTAACTTCAGAAAGTCCCTAGAGAACTTACTGTAAAGCGAGGAGGAAAATACGGTAATCAATTATTAAGTTAATTTTAGGAGCACAAAAAGAGGCAATCTTTAGAAAGTTTCTGCACAGAAAGCAAGGCCTGAATTCCAACTTCTTCAGTGACAGTGTTTTATGTTTTCTTTTTCAATGCAAGCATAAACCTTGAGCACCAGCAGTTTCCACACTGCTCAGATTGGGACACACTCCTGCAACCCAGCATTTCACAGTGCTCCATCACCTAATTTACTGGTACTGACAACATGCTCTGAGACTTCTGAATTTAATAGTAATGTCTGTGCACCATACCCCACTCAGTTCAGAGCAAAAGTACAATTTTATCTTCATTTCAGTGACTTTTTTGAAGACTAATGTCATACTTCTCTAGCCCAAAAATATTGCTTCACCCACAGCTTCCTCAGCATTTCGCAAATAGTCTTTTATTTGCATTTCTCCAAGAAGTTTTGTGTTATATGAATCAATTTTCTAATTTTTTATTAAATTCCACATTCAAAGGAAATTGAACAGAACATTGTATTTCATCATGTGTTTGTTCAAGGCACCTTCTGCCAGGATCAGATAAAACAAGAAGTTAACAACTAAAACTGTCTAAAAAGCTTATGACAGAATTCATCAAAATAATTCCTTCTATGACCTAAAACACCATTTTAATGATGTTGTCCCAAAAATACAGACAAAAAAAAAGTAGTCTGACTGAACACCGAGCCATAATAGTACATACCCACGTCTTTGACTTTCTGCTGCATTAATAATACAGCACTATTAGTTTTGAAATATCTGAAGTGAATGGCTCATTAATTTTTCACCCTAAGCTTAATAGAAATTTGACAAACAGTTTTATGCTGAAAATAGGCACTCCAAGCAGGACTTCACAGCACGTGATGGGAATAAATTAGAGCATAAAAGACAGAATTTTGTCAAATAAGATGGTTCTGTCACTCAGCTGCCTGAAGTGAACAGTGAGTGCAATGCATTCCTGTGAAAGAGGCATTTGTACATTTATCCATTCCCAGTGCATATTCTGCACTGTCCTTTGTCAGCACTTGATCTTGTATTAAGCATGACAAACCCAAAGATGTGTAAACTGACATGTCATAGACATTTATGTTATTTCTGCTTTGAACTTGCACTCAGCTTCCCCCCCACCTTTGCAGGTAATGTTCAACAGCTGTTAGCTCCCACTGGTTGTCCTGCAGCCAGTCACAATGATCTGTTCCTATTTCCCTGAAAAATCAGGTTATCTGTGTTTTTTCTGGCTTTTATCTAATCAAAGATAGAAGCTGAAAGGAGCTGTGCAGCACCTACAACAGGAAGGCTCTGGGTACTGAACTCACACCACAAATGCTGATCACCATAATTTTGCTATGCAGCAGCTACTTGATTAAATCTTCAGCTACAGCAGATTACAATGCTGTCCCCATGTCCACTTTTAAGACAGACTCTTCTAACTCAAAAAAGCAGCCTTCAATTAAGCCTACACATCCCACTTAACCTCTGCTAGAAAATGCACCCACCTGCTATATCTCACAAAGCCACTGACATATTTTTTGCCTTCCTAAATTTTCTCTTTGAACAAAGAAACTCATTCTAGCTGTTATTTCTTGCTGAAAGTGGATATAGCCAGAATATTGACCTAGAAAAGCTGTTGCTGTTCTGCAAGCAGTTATGAACAGGAAATTCTGGGAAAGCACTCTCCAGTTGCTCACCAAAGTCATGTAAAGGTTTCCCTGTATATTAAATCAGAGACCTCTTCCTCTAACAAATATGGTGCTGAACACACCAAGGTGTTTAAAATTGAAGTAAGAATGGATTTTATTAATGGCAAGGAGAAGACCATAACTTCAGACTTTCAAATGTCAGCAAGGAAAAGCAAAAAAATAACTGGCACAGAAAGAGTTGCCAAGAGCAGAACCCGGAGCAGGTGCCCACAGAGCAGAATTGGTAAAAAGCAGTTTCCTGCTATGTCTTTATTCAGTTCTCTATGAATTACCCACTAGAATTGCAATGTGGAACATATGACTGTTTTGAACTGCTTTGCTTCACTAGCCACTGGTAGAAATATGGAGGAAGAGCAAAACATTAACAGCATCCCCCAGAAAGGTCCTTCAGAGCAGCTTTAGAGGCAATGGAGCATGAGATGATGAATCACAACAGCACGGTGTGGCAGCTTGCATTTCAGGATGCATGGCCACAAATGGACAGGAGATGCTTAGAACTATGTAGTGATTGGAGATATGGGTGAGGAAGATGGCTGTGCCTGTGAAAGGTTTATGAACATTTACAGAAAATACAGAACTGAAAGGCAGTGAGCATCACCTAGAAGAGAAAAAAGCTACTGAGAGTTCTCAGAAAGGATCTAAAAAATGTTTTTGATTTTGTCTTAGCATTGCTGATAGTTAAAAATACTTCTTTAAAAACACTTTAAAAAAAATCACATTCTCATGATGTTCGGAATTAAAAAGTTTAAAAGAAAACTGAAGATACCATACCACCTGTATTAAACTCCAATAATAATAATAATAATAATAATAATAATAATAGTATATCCACTCAGACAAAAAGAAAACCAGAACCCTGCAGAAATACTGGTTTGCTT